TTCATGTGCTTGTAGGGTGATCCCACCTCCCACAGCACCTTCTCCTCCAGCACTGGGCCTCCCACCCAGCAGCTCCCCAACACTGAACTGCCTGGGTGTGAAACTGTTTCCAGGAGAAGCAGAGTTTGATTTTTGAGGTTACGGAGTTCTGACCATCCCAAGCAGGAGCTGTGTCAGTCTGGAATAGAGCTCAGTCTGGCTTATCCCAACATTCTCAACCCTTTAAACCCAGTGTCCTGCCCACCAAGGGCAGGTGCTACAGTGCAGTTGGATTAAAGTCCACTGTTAGAAAGCTGGGCAGGCAAAATGGAGGCTATTTGAACCTGCTGAATTTTAGGGTTTGTTCACTTTTAACAAAATGCCCACACACATCCCACCCTAGAATGGGGATTTTTTTTTTTCTGGGGCCTGTTTTCATGAGTGTATCCTCAACTGGCCATTGTAGGGTCAAACACCCATCCCCAAATGTAAGAATAAACTGGTGCCTGTTGTCTCTTCCAGTTGCTCTTGTGAATGAATATGCCTGTAAAGGTCTGGATCAGCTGGAGGAGAACTTGCCCTTCCTGCAGCAGCCAGCAGACAAGGTAAGGAAAGGCTTTTCCTGGGGAAGCCATGGCTTGATGGAAGTTTTATGGTACAGAAATATGGGGAAATAAATAAAGCTCAGCAGCAGGGAAAGCTAGAGAGGTGCCCTCAGCATGTAGGAGTGAACGTGTCCATGTCAGTACAGGTGTGCTCACCTCCTTGGCCCTCCCACCACTGCAAGCACAACTAACCCCAGTGGAAAAGCTTTTTCAGAGAGGGAAAACATATTTTGGAACAATAACAAGAAGAAATCTTTCTCTGCCTCTCTCCCTGTGCAGGTAATCTCAGACACCAAGCAGCTGGTGTCCACCAAAGTGACTTCTGCTATGGATGCTGCCTGCGAGGCCAAGGAAGCGGTGGCTGATAAAGTCACTGAAGCTGTGGACCTCACTAAAAATGTTGTTGGGGACAGTGTCAAGCTGACCAGGTCTGTGGTCACCTCCACTGTCAGCAGTGCCGTGGAGGCTGCCCAGGGTGCCAAGGAGCTGGTGACCAGCAAGGTGACAGAGGCAGTGGATGTCACCAAGCACATGGTGGAGGACAGCGTTGACAGGACCAAGTCTGCTGTTGCCTCTACAATTGTCAACGCTGTGGAGGCTGCCCAGGGAGCCAAGGAGCTGGTGACCAGCAAGGTGACAGAGGCTGTGGACCTCAGTAAGCACCTTGTGGAGGACAGTGTTGACAGGACCAAGTCTGCTGTGACTTCCACCATCACTGCAGCTGTAGGGGCTGCCCAGGGAGCCAAGGAGCTGGTGACCAGCAAGGTGACAGATGCTGTGGACAAGGTCACCAAAGCTGTGGATGTCACCAAGCACATGGTGGAGGACAGTGTTGACCTGACCAAGTCTGCAGTTGCTTCCACGATTGTCAGCGCTGTGGAGGCTGCTCAAGGGGCCAAGGAGCTGGTGACAGACAAGGTGACCAAGGCAGTGGACCTCAGTAAGCACATCGTAGAAGACAGTGTTGACCTGACCAAGTCTGCAGTTGCCTCTACGATTGTCAATGCTGTGGAGGCTGCCCAGGGAGCCAAGGAGCTGGTGACCAACAAGGTGACAGAGGCCGTGGATGTCACCAAGCACACGGTGGAGGACAGCATTGACAAGACCAAGTCTGCTGTTGCTTCCACCATCACTGCAGCTGTGGGGGCTGCCCAGGGGGCCAAGGACCTGGTGGCCAACAAGGTGACCGAAGCAGTGGACCTGACCAAAGGGGCTGTTCAAGACAGCGTTGAGAAGACCAAATCTGTGGTCACCTCTACGGTCAGTACAGCTCTGGATGCTGCCTATGGCACCATCACCAGCAAGATCAACACAGCCCTGGAGCAGGGCAGAGAGGTTCTCCAGGAGGGCATGGAGATGACCAACTCGGTGGTGACCAATAGCATAAGCAAAGCCAAGGCAGTGAGCCAGGCAGTGGCTGGAGGTGTGGAATCTGTCCTGGGAATGTCAGAAGATCTGGTGGATCATTACCTCCCAATGACCGAGGAGGAACTAGGTAAGAAAATACTTACCTGGCGCTTGTAGATGCAAGTCCTTTCCCATGTGAGTAGAGAGCACCTGACACAGCAAGACTCAGCTTCTGAAGCAGACAGGTAGCTCTGAATTTGTTACCAAGTTGCTGGCTGTCAACACCAAATTGCCACATGGCATGGGACAGAGTTCAAGCATTTACTGGCTGGTCCTTGTCCATCAGCCTCCAAGTAAATAAATACATGGGTTCATGCTTCAACTCTCCATCAAGTCTGCTTATCTGAAGATTGAGCAGGGACTAACCTGCCTTTAACACATGAGCAACTACAAACCTCCTGCTCCCACAGCAAGCTTCAGCCTTCATGTTTTCCAATGAGTGATCCAACCTCTTCCACCCCTCCCAGCTGGCAGTGAGCCCAGCTGCACTCTGTTCTTGTTTCCTCCAGGTAAACTGGCCACCACGGTGCAGGGCTTTGGCGTGGCCTCCGTGGAGGAGCAGAGGAGGCAGCGGAGTTACTTTGTGCGCCTGGGCTCGCTGTCGGGCAGGGTCCGGCACCGCGCCTACCAGCACTCCCTGGCCAAGCTGCAGGGCTTCAGGCACCGCACCCAGGACACCCTCTCACGGCTGCAGCTGGCAATAAAACTGGTACCAACACGCTTTGCCCTTCCTCCTCCTGTCTGTAGCCCTTCCTGCCCTGCTATCCGGCTGGAAGCTCTTCCTCCATCCCATACCAGCTCCGTGTCACCTGAGATCCTTCCCTGGCAGGGAAGTGCTCATGCCTCTCTGTGTGTGCTTGCAGTACAACCTTTCCTCTCATTTTTCCTATCAGATTGAATCTGTGAAACAGGAGGTTGGCCAGAAGCTGCTGGAAGGGCAGGAGAAGCTCCATCAGCTGTGGGTGGACTGGAGCCTGACGCAGCCCAAAGGAAACCAAGTCAGAACTGCGAGCCAGCCAGAGGTATCCCCGTGGGCCGGGCCCTCCCGAGCCCTCCCCGAGCTGCCCTGTCCCAGCAGGTGGAGTCGTCCCCAAGCTGTTCTCTCCCGGCTGCAGGAGCCATCCCTGAGCTGTTCTCTCCCGGCTGCAGGAGCCGTCCCTGAGCTGTTCTCTCCCGGCAGGTGGAGCCGCGCACTCTGGCCATGCTGAGGATCATCACCCAGCAGCTCCAGCCCGCCTACCACAGCCTCAAGCTCAGCATCCACGGCCTCCCCAGCAGCATCCAGGAAGCTGTGTCTCGGGCCACTCGGCACATCCACAAGCTCCACAGCTCTTTTTCCAGGGCTGTGTCCTTCCAGGACCTCTCCAGAACCACCCTGGCCCGCAGCCAGGAGCGTGTGGCAGAGGCGCGGAGGTCCCTCGATGTCCTCTTCGAGTATGTCACTCACAACACCCCTCTGAACTGGATTGTGGGGCCCTTCAGGGCCATGGCTAAGGTGGCACAGGACAGCAGAAAGCACAAGAAGAGAGAGATGAGGAGTGATATAAAATTACCCAAGTTGGAGATGGCTCCACTATCACAGGAGGTGACAAAAGCACCTGAAGAGCCAAAGGGAACCAACAGGCTCTCAGAAAAATGGTGTGAAGTGCTAGAGAAGCTGGAGGAGAAGGTAGGGAAGGACACAGAGGTGGCCCTGGCTGCAAAGGAGATAAAAACCAGTGCAGCAGAGGAAGATCTCTGATAAATCCCAGCTCTTCTGGCCAAGGCTACTGGGCTAGAACAGCACTGGATCTTCTGGTTGTGTGCCCACTTGTGCCATGAGTGCCTCTGCTCTCTGGATTTAGTCAGATGTAGTAAGGAGGTATGATAACCAAGGTGGGGAGATTCTGAATCTTGATTTACTGTTTTTAAATCCAGCTGCTGTGCTGAAAGGGGAGATGGGACCTGCACTGCAGCTTTTTAACTCAGCCCAGATGTAGCTGTGAGTGGCTAAATCTTGCTGAGACAAGTTGTGGGAGAGAAGTGACCTCAACTTATTTTTAATGCTGGATTTGTTTTTAATTTGCCCAAGCTGTGGAACTCTTGAGAAGATGCTATGCTTGACCTTTGATACTATCTCCCACCTTCTCCACATTTTAAAATAGTTCCAGACACAACTTCCCTTGTGCCTGTTGTGCTTGTGGGGAGGCTGGGCCCTGCAGCACATCTGGCACAGCTGGGGGCAAGGAGCTGCTCCTCAAGAAGAGATTTCTCTTCATGGATCAGCCAAACTCTTCTTCCTTCATGGAGAAGCACCTGGCAGTGTGGGGTTTTCTTCAATTTTTCCTATTTCTGTGAATGACTTCAAGGATTATCTGTGAGTAACTCCATGTGTGAAACACTTCACAGCCATTAAATGAGGCAGCATTTCCCAGGAGTTACTCTGCCATGGGATTAGGATATCCTGTTATTAAAATAGGGGGGATTTTAATCCAGGTGCTGGTTCTTCCCCAGAAAATGCTACTTTGTAATAATTTCAAATGTAACTTATTTTGGTAACTGTTCCTGGCATTGTCCCCGTGCCAGGGCTGGTGAGCAGACACTGGAATAAAGCGTGACCTGTGTTCAAAACCATGTGGGTTTGTGTGTACCTACAGCTGCAGGGTTGTGCTCTCCCCTTACCTGAGCTGTGATGAAGCCTTGCCTTTACCAAATCTTGTCCCTGGCCAGCTTGTCTCTTCCCTGCTCTTGCTGGAGGGGGAAAAAAAAAATCCTGGCTTTAGTATGTCCCATGCTGTCTTAACTAGAAGAATCAAATATTTTTTTTTCTTAACTAGAAGAATCAAATGATTGTCTCCCTGACTTGTGCCTGTCCTCCTGAGGCTCAGGGGAGTCTGTCCATGCCCCCCTGCTCCTCCTCACCCCGAGCTGCCTGTGCCCCCCCTGCACCCAGGGCTCTGCACTGCTCCTCCCTGCTCCAGCACTTCCACCGGCACTCCCGCAGGGAAGGGTCGGGTCCTGCCTGTCCCCAGCGCTCTGTGTCACCTCCGGCTGCTCGTGCGGGGCACAGCGGGCCGGGCTGGGGTGGCTCACCGGGAGCCGTGCCGCGGGTCCCGGGGCTGCTCCCTGCCGGTGCCGGTTCCCGCTCCCTCCCGGTGCCGGTTCCTGCTCCGCCCCGCTCTGCCCCGCCCGGGCTCAGTGCTGCTTCCGCATGGCCCGGGCACCGGCCGCAGGTAGGCTGCTCCTTCCCTTCCCTCCCTTCCTGCCCTTCCCGGCCGACCCCCGCCCTTCCCGGGCACGGGGCTCGCCCCCAGCCCGGCCGTGCCACCCCCGTGCCCATCGGGCACACGGGGCAGGGCTGGCCCGGCCCGGGCAGCGAGGCACATTGGGCAATTGCAGGGTTTTCGCGAGACGTGAAAACAAAACCGAGCGTGGAAACTTTCCCGAGTTGAGAGTTATTTCGGGGCGTTCGCTGGGGCTGCCTTTAAATAGGGAGAGTTCCTGCAGCAGGCTCAGGCAGCGCCTGGAGCAGCGAGTGTCCCACCGGAGCCCTCCCCTCCAACACTCCTGTTGTTAAATTAAAATCCCATCAGAGGCCTGGGGTGAGTGCAGGGGCTCAGGGATCACCTGTGGATGGGGATATAAACGTCTCCCAATGAAAGAAGGACGTGGAGCTGCTGGGACAGAGTCCAGAGGAGGCCACGGAGCTGCTCCAGGAATGGAGCCAGGCTGGCAGAGCTGGGGGTGCTCACCTGGAGAGGAGAAGGCTCCAGGAGAGCTCAGAGCTCTGCCAGGGCCTGAAGGGGCTCCAGGAGAGCTGCAGAGGGACTGGGGACAAGGCATGGAGGGACAGGACACAGGGAATGGCTCCCACTGCCAGAGGGCAGGGCTGGGTGGGATATGGGGAAGGAATTCTTTCCTATGAGTCTTCCCTGATAACACAGGTTATCGGCTGGAAAGGGTTTCCTCTACACCTGGTTTATTCCTCAACTGCCATCACAAGGAGCCTGTGAGAACCCTGGAACCAGCTGCCTGGAGGAGACACTTGGATTTACCTAAATATAGCATTATTTCATCAATTATCTTAAACCAGTTGTAATTAATGTGAAATGAACGTGAAGAATGTGCTCTTTGCTTAATCACAGAGCTGGAATAATGCACAGAGCACTGGCACAGCTGCAAGCACAGAACAGATGCAAAAATAATTTGGGAGGTGTGACAGAGAGAGGCGGTGAGCTGCAGGAGCATCCCCCAGTGCCCACATCACCCCTGTGACCACTGTGCTCTGTTCTCCTCGCAGGCTCCCAGCTCTGAGAGGCCCCAGCTCCCAGCAGAGTGCCCGGGCACCGCAGGCTTGTGTGGAACCAGGAGCACCAGCGGGGCACCCCCAGCCCCACAGGCAGACAGCCCTTGGCCATAAGATGCTTTTCCCACCCCTGCTCCAGTCCGTGGTCAGGGCCAACAGCTGCTGAGATGGCACAGAGAGCTGAGCTGCAGCCCAGCTTCGAGGACGTGTTCAACATTCTGTCCCAGGCCCCGCCAGAGAAACTGCTGAGCCTCAAACTCAAACTGAAGCACCTGAGACCTGGGCCCTGCAGCAAGATACTGCAAGCTATGGTCCTGCTCACGCTGGGGCAAGAAACGGAGGCAAGAATTTGTCTGGATGCCTTGAGGGATAACCAGGCAGCCCAGTACATCCACCAGCTCAAACTGGGCGCTGCAGGAGCGCGGGAAGATGGGGAGGAGCTGCAGCCTCCCCAGCTGGATGCAGGAGCCGTGGCACTGCTGGCACAGCTGTACACAGTGCTGGCACAGGAGCAGCTGTGCAGTCCTGAGGCCAGGGACAAAGCCAGCAAGGACACTCAGCGGGGGACACTCAACAACATCCCACCCAAGGAGCAGGAGCAGGGCTCTGCAGCCAGCGGGGGCTCAGGGGACAGGTTTGGGACGCTGAGATCCCACGAGGATGCAGGATTTCCCCACACAGCCAGCTCCCACAACATAGTGAGGAGCTCACCAGTGGAGATCAGAGGCAACTCAGAGCTTTCAGGCCCACGGACCCTGTGCTCTGCAGGGAGCTCCTCCCTGTCCAGCTGTTTGGAGATCAGTGCATCCCCAACAGTTGTTTTTCACACCCAGCCCTCTGTCCCTGAGTGTGTCCCCAGCCGTGCTGGACGCCCCAAGGGGGACACAGAGAGCCACAGCCCTCAGGAATCCAGCTGGGCCAGCACAGCCAGCTCTCCCCCTGGGCAGGACACAGCTGCCCGAGGGCCCCAGCCAGAGGAGGTTCTGCAGGTCAGGCCCTGTCACCCCAGCCCTCTCCCCATTCCAACACCGCTGCCCTCGGAGCCTGCCCAAAGCAGTGACATGTCCAGCACAGCGACAGAGCCTCACACACCAAGAGAAAAGCAGGATGAAAAGCAATTACCTGCTGATGTCCCTGACTCAAGGGCTGCAGCGGATACTGCTCCTGCCCTCGTGTCCATACAGGACTCCAACATTCCAGCAGGCATTCCTTGCAACTCTGCACCTGCTTCTACTTCAACCTGTTCCTTTCCTCCTCCTACTTATTCCTTCTCCTCAACTCTTCCTCCTCTTCAGGAATCTCCCTCCAAACTATCATATCCCCCTCCCCTGCATTCATTCCCCTCTCCAGCCAGGCCTCCTGCTCCCCCAGCCATGGATCCATCAGAGCCAGATGATGCCAAGTTCTTCACGTTTGTTGTTCTGCACGCCAGTGAAGATGAGGTTGTGGCCCAGCAGGTCAAGAACCTGCTGGAGAGCATGGGGGTGCCCAACGGAGCCACGCTCAGTGAGGATTTCTTCATTGCTGGGCGCAGCCACATGACTTGCTTCCAGGAGGCCATGGAAAACTCTGCCTTCATGATCCTCCTGCTGACCAAGAACTTTCCCTGCAACCTGTGCCTGTACCAGACAGACACTGCTCTGATGCAGTCCATCCTGGACCCCTCCAAGCAAGACTCAGTCATCCCATTTCTACCCAAGGCAAACGCCCTGGAGGGCAGCCAGATCCCCAGGATGCTCAGCGCGCTCGTCACCCTGAATGAGAGCTCTCCTCTCTTCCCCACAAACGTGCAAAAGACTTTTAACCCCAAGAAGATCAGAGAGAAGAAAGCCATGTGGGACCAGCTGCAGAGAAGGAAGCTCCAGGCACGTTGGGAACAGCACCAAGCCCAGCAGAACCTGGCTGCCCTGAGCCTGGGCTCCCCTCGCTGGGGGCCTCCAGCAGCGCCATGGCCAGGGCCACCAGGGCCACCAGCCCAAGCCTGGTGTCCCCCTGCCCCGATGGAACCCCCCCTTGCTCAGAGGGGTCCTCCCCCTTCCCAAGCACAGCTGCCCCCAGGCCAGTACAGCCTGCCAGCAGGCCAGGCAGGGCTGGCACCCCTGATCATCCAGCACGCCCGCATGGTTCAGATCGGGAACCACAACGTGATGCACGTGGAAACAGGGCCAGGGCACAGCCAGGAGCAAGCCAGGCACAACGTCTGACTGGGGCAGCAAAAGACAAAATTCATTTCCAATCCTGGACTAGAGTGATTCTGCTGGGACTGGGACTATTACTCTATGCATCAAGAGTGCCATTTTCCTGAAGCACAAAAGAAAATTCTTCATTTTTTGTTGGAAAAATGATGTCGTGATTTCTTGAAAGTAACTGAGAAAATTATTTTCCTATGATTGTCTGGGACTACTTGAAAATTTTATAAATAATTTTTAATTAATTTATTTGTGTTCCTCTGCTTCTTTCCTGTAGAATTAGAAAAGGGATAGTCAGGGATATATGGAAAACTATTGTGCATGTTGGCTGGAGGGGCTGGGAGATGGCACTGACCAAATGATTTGAGGGACAATCTGCAAGAGATGCTTTGGGAAGCTGCCTTTAAGGAAAAAGCAGAATGAAAAACCAAAACCAGTGAGCAGAATAGTGCAGAAGGGCGGAGAAACCCAGGAATGGAGAGTGGGAGGGGAAATTTTGCAGGATCTGAGCTTTAACACCAGGAGGGCACCTGGAGCAAGGCCCTGGCTCCTCCTCCCAGGCTCCAGGCACAGCCATTTTCCTGATCGTCAGCAGAGGTCACCCCAAAGCCACCGAGAGACTGGAAATGGGGCTGTTCCCTCCCGGGGCAGAGCCCAGAGGCAGCTCAGCCTGTGCCAGGAGCAGGGCACAGCTCCGGGCTCCTCAGGAGCCACTCCCGGTTCAGGGGGATGCCCCTGGGGTCAGCACAGGGCAGTGACCCCATCCCAGGTGTCCCTGCAGGGCTGTGTGTGCTCGTGGCACTCCTTGGCTTCCCCAGCAGGTTCCAGGAGGATCCAAGGCCATCCCTGCCCCAGCTGGGTCCTGTCAGGCCTCATTCCACACTGCAGCCTGGGACCCAGAGCCCTGCGAGCCCCAAGCCAACCCCTGAGTGGGGCAGATGTTATTAAATCCTTGCAGGAGGCTCTGAGCTGCCCCCCAGCTCTTGCCTTCCAGCTCTCAAAGGCTGGATTTTAACCCTGCAGGACCCAGTGACCATGGATTAACCCATCCACTCCTTCCAGAGCCTGCTGGCATCCTCCAAGTGCTTGAACTCCTTTTATTTTCCTGGTTTCTCTCCTCCACAGCACCATTAGGAGTTGTTGTGTCACTGCAGTTCCTGTCCCCTGCCGTGGGTGCAGGACAGTCCCTCCCCTTGGGAGCACTCCCACACCCCTCCTCTCCCAGCTCCTCTCCTACTATAAATAATCATGCAAAATTAGTCAGCTGGAAGCTGCTCCAGCTTGTAAACAACCTCAGCACAGGCACATCCAGCGTGCTTGGCTCACACACAGGGGAGGGAGAGCTGTGTCTGGGCTACACGAGGGTCTGCAGCCACCACAGTGCAGAAAAAGCTCCTCTCTGTCCAAGAATTAACAAAATAATCACTGAAACACTGCCCTGTTCTCCACAACTGTGTTTTGCCCACATGGAGCTGGCCCTACACTCAATCAGGCCTGTTCAGTGTAATTACCCCTAAATCATGCAGTGATTTCTTCCACCCTGTAATTACTATCAACATTTAATTGCTGGGCCCTCTGTGTAATTACAGATTATTTATGTGTTTAAAAAAAAAGTGAAGCCTTTTCCATCACACAGAATATTCTCTTCCTTGGGGCTGCTGGATCCCCCAGCTCCCTGACCACGAGCTCAGCTCCAGGGTTGCTCCTGCCTGGATTTACTCCCTTCCCTGCCACTCTCTCCTGCCAGCAGCCCTGGGTGCCACCTGGCTCCTGGTACCTGCCTGGCAGCTGCTCTCCCACCCTGGAGATCACCTGCAGCACAGGAGGAATGTCTGCCAGGGAGGAGCACGAGCCCAGGCTCTACAGACACTGCTCCAATGGCATTTGTAGCACAAAGGCACCGTCCTTCATCAAGGCATCAAGAACTACGGATGGAGCAATAAATGACAGGACAAACATTCCAATATTTTATCCACCCATCCTCCCTGGGGAAGACCAAGCAGTTTTGGGATCCAGGTCCTTGTGCGGGACTAACTCCAGTACCATTAATTCCTGTTTTTACCATCCCTGATGGATTTGGGGTTGGAAACCAAACTGATGACAGTGTCCCTCCTTCTGCTTGCTGTGTCCACTGTCCCCATGTGTAAGGCAGGTAACACCCTAGTCAACACAGATCCTCTCACGTTGTTTGATTTGCACCAAAATGTGAGGCAAAACACAGAAGAGGAGGTGTCATTTCAGTGTCAGTGTTACTCTTTTCCAGGGGAAGTTTGTCAATGCAGCACAGATTGGTTTTTCACAGGAGTAACCATGAAATGAAGCATTCACACCTGTTTAATTGTAAACACCCCAGGATTCCATACCCACAGTGTCCCATCCCTAGGAAACAAACTGGAAATAGAGGAAAACACCTGAATATAGAGGCTTATCAGGAAGAAGTCCAAGGCACTTGCATTCTAGCAGCCATTTTTTGTTTTATTATTTAAAGTTAAGAGCGCTCATCAGCTCACAAAGGAACAAATCCCATTCCTGCAGTTTAGTTCAGGTTTCAGCCAAAAGGAAAAAAAAATAGAAGGCAGCTAAACTAACTCTGCACTTTACAGCTCAATTCAAGTTAAACCTCCTCGCTTTATAAATAAATGTTATAGTTAACACTGCAAAATGTACTGGCAGATCTACAATACCTTGAAGGGGCAGAGAGCGTGGTTATTGAGGCTGATAAATACAAACAGAGAAGCTTCAGTAGCACAGAGAGCCAGGGTGGGGCAGGGGTCTGCTCTCTCAGGTGGACCTTTCCCAGAGCTCCAGGCAGCTGCTTTCCCCCTCAGCTCTGCTCCCCACCCTGCTCAGGGCCAGGGAAGGAGCCACAGGCTGCCCATCACCGCCTGCACAAGGACAAACTGCTGGAAACTCTTTGTTTTCCACCACGGAGGGGTCTGCTCATAGAGGCAAAATCCTGCCCTGAGACTACAGAGTTAAAAACAAGGTGTGTGCAGATCCTCATCAAAGGAAGGAGCTTGCCCAAACAGCAGCCAGGTGAGATTTCAAATTCCACCTTGGAAGTAGCACCATCCTCAGTGAAGTTACAAAAAAAATTGAAAAAAGGAAAAAAAAAGAAAAAAAAAGATTCAAAAGCCCAAACCAGCTGCTAAGAACCCACTGCATGAGGTTTCAGAATGGGGCAATAACAGAGCCCAAGCACTAAAACCTCAGAAGGACAAGGAGGCACCTTAAACTTTCATTTCTTGCTTCTTCCTTCAGCCCACCCTGGTGCAAACCCACCACACTCACCTGCTTTCATAACCCCCTCCAAGCACCTCCACACTGCAGCTACCTCCTGGCCTAAAGGGCTTGCAAGAGCTCAGCTCTGAAAATAGCTCAAAATGTGCTGTTTTGGCTCCCAAACACATTCACCCTTCCAGCTCAATCCCTGCTGCCCTCTGGAGCCACAGCACATTCATGCTGGGAATGGAGCAAATGGGTGTGGAATGGACAAGCCAAGGGCCTGAACACCACATCAGGATTTTGTTCTTAAAGTAGTTTTTTCCTCCCCGTTCATAAACTACAACATCTATGGATGAAACTGTATAACCAGAACTGACCTTCCTCTATCTTACAGGATTGGAGAAGTCTTGCAGCATAGATAGGGCCTGGCTCTACGAGAGAAAAAACATCCCAGCTTTATGCACAATCATGGAAATCTCAGGCCTTTAACACCATGTGCTACTTGGCCAACCAAGAGAGAGACAAACCCCATCCTCAGCACACCCAGCCCTGTGCCAACCCTGGGCAGAGCTCGAGCCCCTCGGCTGCTGGGCATGGGCTGTCCCAAACCTGACAGGAGGGAGGGGAAGGGATTAACTGGAGGGTGTTTCATTCCTCACTCACTTTCTACCTGTTGTGTGTGTGGGGTGGGAAGGGCCAGAGCACGTGGGGGATGTGTAGCTGCTCCAAAGCTGAACACTGAGTTAATCCAGCACTAACGGGACAGGCAGCAGGTCCCAGGGAATCTCCATTTCCTTCCTTCTCAGGACACGATGGTGGCTTGGGGAAGGGCAGGGGCTGTGGCATCTGTGGACAGAGTGCACTGGAGAGAGCTGGTACCTGAAGGTGACAACGAGGGACAGCCATGAGCTCTAGGGCCTCCTCCTCCCCTGCCCCGACACGCCAGCTGGGTGGTGACAGATGGGGACAAAGCTCAGCACAGCGACAGCCCTGGGCACTTTGGCACAGCCAGCCCGAGCCCTCCAGCTGCACAACCTCAGCGGGGTGGGACAGGCTGGGCACCGTCGTCTGTCACACCCTAGTGCAGCTCAATGAAGGCTTCCAGCTCCTCGGGGATGAATCCCTTGTAGGGAATCTTGTGCTTGTCCAGGGCGCGAGCAGCAAGGCACTGGAGGGTGATGTAGTTGAAGGGCTGCATGGTGCTCTTGGTGAGCAGCTTCTCGTCCAGCAGCTCGTAGGCCGTCTGCTTGAAGGCGTTGGTGGCGTCCATGTGCGCCCCGGCCTCCATCAGGGCGCTCATGATCAGCGGGCAGTTGTTGCGGGCAGCCACGTGCAGGGGGGTGTTGTTGTCATAGTCCCGGCTGTCCGGGTCCGCCCCGCACTCCAGCAGCAAGTTCACCACGTGCAGGGATGGGAATTTGCCCACGGGGTAGCGCCCCACCGTCGTGGTGTCTTTGTCCACGGCCATGTGCAGGAGGGTGAAGCCGTTCTTGGCGCGGGGGCTGCACTTGAGCAGGCGGTAGATGGTCTGGCGCTTCTGGTGCTCCTGCTCCGGGGTGCACTCCACCTTCTCCAGCAGGAAAACCAGGTGCAGGATGATGGCCAACGTCTTGGTGAACTGCGCCGAGTCTGCCACAGGGTCCTTGCCGTGCACCAGGGCCCTCTCCACCTCCCGGACCCCTTTGCTCAGCACCCCGATGAGGTCGGAGAAGCCCAGGTGGGTGGCTAAAGTGCCTTTGGAACGGTCCTGGAGCACGTAGGAGTACAGCTCAGCAAAGGAAAGGAAACTGCTGGCAGTCATGGGGCTGAGGGGCTCCAGGTTGCCTTGCTGCATGTCCAGGGCGTACTTCCACAGGTTGATGCAGCGTTCGAAGTTGCCGGAGTCGGCGTAGACGGCGCCGCGGTAGCGGATGTAGTAGGAGGTGTCGGGGTGGGAAGGGCCCAGGATGCGCTCCCGGATCAGCAGCGCCTGCATGCGCATCTCGTCGGGGTCCGTGATCAGGGCTTCCAGCTCCTCCAGAGAGCTCACCTCCCGCGAGTAGTCGTAGGCCAGCACCAGCTGCCGGGGCTCGGGCTTGGGCAGGTACTTGCCGCCCTCGCAGCGCAGCTCCATCGCCCTGCGCCAGTACTTGTGGGCTCCCAACAGGTCTCGTTTCTTGTCCACAAACGTGGCACCCAGCAGCTCCAGCGCTTCCACAGCAGCCTCTCGAGTGCAGAACACGTTCGGGACCTCGTCCTGGCCGGAGGCTGAAGCACCGCAGCCCTCACAGCCCTCTTCACTACAGCCCCTCTGATGGCTCCCACCCGAGGCGCAGGTCCCGCTCTGGCTCCCCGCAGCCTCGTCCTGCTGCAGCCCGCCCTGGATCAGGTACTCCACGATGTTGGTGTGGCCGGTGACGCTGGCAGCGAGCAGAGGGGTCATGCCGTAGCCGTCCTTCTCCATGCGGGCCTTGGAGCGGAGCAGCAGCTGCAGGATCTCCAGGCTGCCCGACTCGGCGCAGTCGTGCAAGGCCGTGTTCCCCTTCACGCTGCGCCGGTTCACATCGGCCCCTTTCTCCAGCAAGTACCGGGCGATCTCCCGGTGCCCTTTATAGCAGGAAATCATCAAGCACGTGTGGCCGTGCCGGTTGGCCACCTCCAGGTCGGCGCCGCGTTCGCCCACCAGGTACCGCACGATCTCCAGGTGCCCATCGAAGCAGGCGGCCCGCAGCGGGGTGGAGTTGGTCAGCGTGGTCTGGTTCACCGAGGCGCCGTGGTCCAGCAGGCTCCGCACCACGCCCAGGTGCCCCGCGGCCGAGGCCGCCCACAGCGGCGGGGCCCCCTCGATGGTCTCACCGTCGAAGCTGACGGAGCCGCCCTCCTCCACGCGGGCCCCGCAGTGATCCAGCAGGTACTCCACCACCTCCAGGTGTCCGTGCCGCGCCGCGATCAGCAGCGGGGTGCTGCCGGCCCCGGGGCCGCCCCCGCCGCCGGGCCCCGCCGTCAGCGCCTCCAGCTCCTCCCGGCTGCGGCTGCCCAGCAGCTTCTGCAGCAGCTTCAGCTTCCCGTCGCGGGCCGCATTGTACACGGCCGTGCGCAGGTCCATGGCGCCAGCGGCCGCCTCCAGGCCATGGACCGGCGGCGGCGGCGCGGCCCCAGCGCGGCGCGGGGCGGGCGGGGGGCGGCGGGACCCCCCTGCCCTCAGCGCGGCGGGACCTTCACCGCCCGGGCCCGGCCGCCATCTCAGGCTGCGCCGCGGAACAAAATGGCGCCGCGCGAGGCGGAGCGGGACGCGCGGCGGGTGATGGGGATTGTAGTCCCGGGAGCGGCACTGCTCGCCCGGCGGCGCACCGTGCGCACTCTGTTTCCCAGGAGGCAGAGCGGGTGGGGGGGTGAGGTGGGAAGGATGTGCAGCCTCTCCTTGCAGGGCATGCTGGGCAGTGTAGTTTTCTCGGCCCGCTGCGGGTAGCGCCGCTAATGGGATTTCACCAGCGCCGGGACTACACTTCCCAGTGCGCCCCGCGCGGACCAGGCGCTGTCCAGGGGCGTCTGTGGCTGCGGGCTGTGCTGCTTTCATAGCGGTTTTATTTCTCTTAAATTCCTCGGTGTTATGGCACTTCAAAACCCGGCGGCTGCACAGCATTAATCTGCCGTGGTTTAATTGCAGGTTTTATGAAGTCATGATGTCCTGAGCTCTAACGGAGCCCCGTGGGTGGCGCAGGCCAGCCCAGGGCCCGGCACAGGTCTGGCGCTGCGCTCTAAAGTTCGAGTTTCCTGCCCTGGAGGTGGCAAAGCCTCGTCCCCAGCAGCCAACACAGATTTATCCGCTCCAATCCCCCCCACGGGGCATTAGGTCCAGCTCCCTCCATCCCTGAGTGACAGTACCTGCCCAGAGTGAGGGAAAACACTCAAGCAATAAATAGCTCGGCTTAGATGAGCAAGCTTTACTCACCAGAGTCTATTTTTGGGGCATAAATTGAGTTTAGGTGTCCCTAATCTTTATACAGAGAACTGGCACAGGGTTTCACCATTGTATTTTATTTATAGCTGCATTTCTTCTACCCAAGGAAATAAACTTAGTCTCATTATTTCCATTCTTATTATTCTGTCTGTCATGATTATTATTATTCAGCCCATCCACCCGTTTTAGGTCTTGTCTGGAATTACAGTGGATTATCCCACTGATGCCTGTTGCCTTCACACAGAATATCACTTTTGTTGCTAAGAAACTGCTTTTGCATAACAGGCAGCAGGAGCCCAATTTTCACTCCAGCAGCTCCTGCAAGTCCCCGGGAGCAGCAGCAGCTGCTCCTGGAGCAGAGTGTCCATGGCAGAATTCCCACACGAGGTCTGTGCTCCCTGTGGGGCTGGGATGGAATTCCCAGAGCAGCTGGGGCTGCCCCTGGATCCCTGGCAGTGCCAGGGCCAGGCTGGACAGGGCTGGGAGCAGCCTGGGGCAGTGGGAGCTGTCCCTGCCCTGGCACTGGGTGGGCTCTGGGTGGGCTCTGAGGTCCCTCCAGCCCAAAACCTCCTGGAATTCTGTGACACGGTGACTTTCTGTTTGAGAAGAAAAGGGGCGAAGGTCCCTTAAACGTCTGCAGGGTGTCTGTGCTGTGCCCTGTCAGGGCAGGAGGAACCAGGGAATCCTTCAGGAAAAGCCTTCCAGGAGCACCAAGCCCAAGCTCTCCCTCAGTTGTGTGGAGACACTCGACTCTGGGCACGAGTTCGTCACGTTTTCACCCAAAAAAAGCCCCAGGAGTTGCATGTGAACGCCGTGAGCAGGCAGGGCATTCCCGGGCTGTGGCTGTGCAGCCTGGCAGTGTCCCTGTCCCCTGATGGCAGTGCCATCCCCAGCTCCCGGGCTGTTTGTGCTGCAGGTCAAGGCACAGACACGGTGACATTTCCTCTCCC